TGCAGCTGCTGAATCTGGTCCTGTTGAGATGGCTCACTGCCTCTCTGTCTGCTTTGAGGCTTGCCAATGTTGCCTCAGATGAAAATTGGCACTTCTTCACATGCGCAAAGGGATGACTGCAGCATTGAGGCTTTGACCCCGGATGGGATCGCAGAATCGCGGATCCAGCCTGGAGCCGGTCCCCACTGCGACAAATCACCGGCTGGGACGAAAAGCTGAGGCTGCATCCGTTGTTCAACTTCTCCTCTGCTCCGTCCACGCGTGCGAACTCCCTAAAAGCAAATCGAACACAAACGCCCGGCCTGCGTTCTGCTCAAAGGCCTCTTGGCGAGCCTCTTGGCATGGCCTGGGAGATGAATCGGAGAGGAGGCTGCGAGGGAGATGCCAGCCTATCCGTCTTCGGAAGACACTACCCTATACACGAGTGACGCACCACTGCTGACAACGAACGAATGTTCAAACTAGTTTCATTCCATTCAGAACTCAGAACCCGTGTTGTGGACGCTGGCTGGCCTTGCTCTCGGTGCGCTCGCCGACCGGAGGAACGACCGTCTCAAGGCTCCAAGCTCCTGCGACTCTTTGAGCAAAAGCTGACGACCCAAGACTGTTGAGGACTCTCTCCTGCGCCTCCGTATGCCATCTTGAGACCGTGGTCCCTGACGGTGTCCTGGCTGCACAAACTGAAGGTCAGCGCACTTAGCGCCGAAACGGCATCACGACTGCCCCGGCCCAAAGTGGAACCTCCTGGAGTCGGATCGTTCCCGCTGGCCTGCTTTGGGCCTCCGATGCCGACGCTGCCTTGCCTAAAGGCCTAAAGTCCTCAAAGTCCTAAAGCCTGTCTGGCCTGGGTTCGTCTGGGGCCGCTGCCCTGGGTGGTGTTGGACCGGGATTTGATGCTCCACCTCGCTGGCTTCCTCAGCATCAAGACCATCTCCGGCTCTTCCGGCTTCGCAGAGCTGTAGGTTGCAGCTGTGTGAAACGTACGAACAGTTTCTTCGTCTGCTCTACGATTATGCATAGCTGCCCGCAAACGGACGCTGTCAACTGTTCCGCATGAAGCCCATGTTGTGAATACCCTTTGCGATGTGCACGAAACTTCAGGGATGACAGAAATGCTTGGACGACGTCGAAACAGAATGGTGTCGACATCTACGACTGCAAGTCAGGAACACGAGCCCACAAAACGGATGAAAAAGCTGAGGAGAAGCGAGGAACGAGCGAAGCGATGAGCATCAGCTCCGCATTTGACTGCTTGAGTCCTGGGTTACCTCTCCGCCGCATTGCCAGAGAATCTTGTGCGAGCGAGCAAGGAGCGAGGCTGAAGGACGACAAGTGCGTCGAGAAAGGACGGCGAGTACGAAGTCTCTGCTATGGAACTCAGGGGAGCGCCCGTCGGGTGGGGACGACCTCCTCGTGCTCGTGACCAGAAGCACCTGGCATAGTCAACACTTAAGTGTTTGGCATGTAAGACGCTGGAAGAAGGCGAAGAGATCGCCACCGGGCGAATCATGCACAGGCACGGAATGCAGCTTGAGAGCTTATTTCTTACATAGTTAAGTGTAGAAGGGACTTTCACGGAGCTGCATGACAAGCTGCTGCTGTCCCTCGGCGAGAACTGCAGCTCCTCACTCTCCGAGTCCTGAACACGACATGCACTGGGATCACTGATTGGAGAGGCCGCGATGCTGTGCGGGACACGACAGCTAGTATGGAAGCGTTTGTTCCACAACTGTTGTGCTCCCTCCTTCTGCTTCGTCTAAGACAGGCCTACGCCTTAGGGCGGGTGCCCCGCCGCCTTGTACCCATAAGTGATCTCCGTGCCGGTTTGTTTCAGCTTATCGAACATGGTTACTTCTGCCGCCTCGGAGACTCAGCAGTGCTCCACGTAAAGGCTGTATATTTGAACGTTGGGGGCAGAGAACGTTTTCGAATTTGCCAGAGTCAAACCACGTCGGAGCTTGCGAGTTTTGCTGGCATCATCTGACTCACCTCTCTGCATGTGAGTCTCCGCTTTGCAGGCCACAGTGACACGTCTTGACAACCGCTTCTCGGGAGTCCTCGAGCCACTTTTGCTCGTCTTGCACCTTTTCTCGCGGCTGAGCCTCACAAGCAAACAACTTCTCTTCGCTAGTGTTCCAGCAGCTACATGCAGCCCGCATAATGCGTGCATCTGCGGTTAAGTCAGAGCCATGGTGCCCTGATGACGTAAGGCGAGACTGGCGATGCCTGAAGTGGCACATGAACACTTGCAAGTCCTGAGAATGGTCAAGGTCAAACGACTTCTCATCCCCTGCTCTCTGTGGACATTGATGTGCTGATTCCGAGAACTTTCGACAATATAGCTGCTGTCTGATTTCTGTGCCGGCCCCCCTGGACACAATAGGATCACAAGAGCCATGCCCGGTCCACCCTGGCCCACATCTGTGAGTGCTTTGCATCCCTGCAATGTGGGGTTGCTTCTCCAAGCACTTTCCGCTCGCTTCTGGCAGCTACTTGTTTCCGTCCCAGGACTTCGAATCCGAAATTATGACTAACCGCACCATTCCGATCATCGGCATGGCGGCTGCTGTGCTGATAGCCCTACTCACCTGCAACTCGGACCTAGGATAAGGCACACGACCAGTCGACAGGCCTGCGCCCCGAGGCGAAACGTGCTCCGCCGGTTCTTCGCGGCCTTGAGCAAGAGGTCAGTAAAATTTGATTGGCAACGGCAGAGGAGTGATGATCCGATCAAGGGGAGGACATCCACCGGTCGCGCTCCGCTGACTCCGCCGAGTGCTGCAGGATCCTGGCCGCAAGGCTTTCCACATCGCGTTCACGCACTGATCGGAATGCATCATCCAGCGCTCCTGCCGTATGGCTGGACCGGTTATGCTGGATCGCTGGCTGACCCCGGAGGCAGCACGGGACCGCGGCTGAACCTGATGGGACGACGGTCACAGCTGACGTTAAGGCCTCTTCGGTGTTTCTTGCCTTGCTCGTTCCGGGCATACTGGACGCTCGCTTTTCCCCAGTTCTGGAAGGAGCCTCGGCCTTCGCACAGGGATGAAGGGGGGGGGGAGGAGGTTGGCCCCAAAGATGCACCTGGACCTCTGCTTCCACGGAAGGCCGTGGCCTGGTGACAGCTCGGAGCGAGGGAAGGCGAAGGCTTCCTATCTGCTCCGGCCTTGAAGTGGAATCCGTCTTCTCCTGGCGCGCGTTGCAAATGGTCGCTCTCGCGCTCTCTCAGCCTGTCGGCCCCTGTCCTCCACTTTGGAAGCTCGACCGTGTGTGCGACGCTTCTCAAGCTGCCTTTGTCCTTCGGCTTCTCTCGCTTTGGCCTCTTGGGACTCTTGATGAGCTCGAGCTTTTTGTTCCGCAGCCTCGCGCAGCTGTCGCTGCTGTTCTGCCTGTTCTGCTCGCTCTCGTTCCTCACGTTCTCGCAACTCTCGCAGTTCTCGCTCTCGAGCTTCACGCTCCTTGATTTCGCGCTGCTCGCGCTCTTGAGCTTCACGCTTGGCCTCTTGCTCCTGGGCCTCGCGTTCCCTTGCCGCTTGAGCCTGGGCTTGTCTTTCGGCTTCACTCTCCGTCTCCATGTTGACCTGCTCCTTCGCTGCGAGCTGCTTCTCTGCTGCTTCTTCTTCGGGTTCTGCCGTCTGCCCAGTTTTTGTCGCATCGGGCTTGTGCACCTGCATCAAAGACGTGAAGCCGTCTGCTCTACTGTCAAACCGAAGTGGCTCCGCCTGCTGATCGGCTTCCTGGTCTTCTTCCTCTGCTTCTTCTTCTTCTTCCTCCTCCTCTTCCTCCTCTTCTTCCTCCTCCTCCTCCTCCGCGCCTTCTGCGTCCGATGCCTTCTCCTCCTGCGGGCTGCCAGGTGGAATGCGAGTTGCCAATCCGGAGCGAAAAAACTCCGATCTGCCTCTGCCTTGTTCGTGGAGGGAGCAGAGGCCTGTCGAAAAACAAGCGAGCTCTGCTCAAGCAGATTGGGCTAGTCCCGCCAGATCTAAAGCAAACATGTGTAAATCGGCATACCCAACGCAGACATGAAGATTCGCGGATCAAGACTGTTTCAGTACCTTCCCGAATCTACAACACCAACACGTACCATCAATAGGAGCCTTCATTGGCTGGGCTGAGACCTGCTTGAGCCCAGATTCCGATGTGTTCACAGATGTCTCAGTTGCTTGTAGCACTTGCTGAAGCCCTGCCCAGCACGACCTGCTTAGGACAAGCATGTTCCCAACCCTTTATATGAAACTGCATGCGTGCGTTTCGACATGCCTCTGCCTCAGGCTCCTCTTTGATTGTCCTGGATAGTCCGACACCGAAGCAGTGCGCAGGCAGAAAGGGATTGCCAGAATGTCAGCCTTATCATTATTGGAAGCATGCGCGTTGTGCCAGATTGCAGTAGAAGAAGGGGCGCATGATGTTCATGAAACCAGTCTGAGCTTCGGGCTTGAGCTCTGTTCTAGCAGCTCCAGCCGGGGCTGGGATCGCTCGGTTCTCAGTTTCCCGCAAGCGATGCACGCACGCAAGAAACGCGGGCAAGGAAGCCACTGCTGAGCTCGCAGCCGGAAAGAGGAACCTCAGCTTCCGTGCCGGTGGCCGGGTTTGCGTCTGGTCTTCAACCCGTTTACCCTCGCAAAGTGCTTCCAAGGCGCTGCCAGATATGAGCTGACTGAGCATCTTTGGCTGGCGTAAGGAACTCGCAGGATCCAGGCCTCAGAACTTCGAGGGCGGAGTGTGTGATGAGGGTCCATTCATTACCGGAGACTGTCGCCGTGTGGATCAAGAAGCCATCCAAGAACATTTTGGATGCATGCTGGCGCCCGTCGAAGCATACTTTGTGCGCGCCGTCGGCTGCACGGAAAACGGGAAAGAGTCATCACGGGCTGCGGCTCTCACTGTGACTTGAAGAGTCTCGGCACCTGCGAGCATGTGCTGTGTCCCTGCTGATGTCGTCCTCGCCCAAAAGCCTGTCATCTTGGGTACGCGCTTGCCGGGAGAAGCATCTTTCATGATCAGAGCATAGAAGCAATAATGTCGTCTGGAACGTCGCGGCGCTGAGAACCTGAGTGCGAAAGACTCATAAAGCTAGAATCGACTAGACGCGAAGCGAAGTCTGCATGGGTGGATTGGTTTCAGCAAAGAAGCCATCCATGCTGCCGGCACAGCGATGCCCGATGTCTGCTTCCTCCTGCCAATACCCCAGCTCTGCAGCACTAATCCTCTGTCCTCTGTCTGCATGGGAAACGGTCTCTTCCGCCACTCGAACAAAACTCAGCCCGGCCAATTGCAGCATCTGCTGTAGCCGAGCTCGAGCGGCGATGGCCTCTTCCTGGCCTGAGCTTTGTGAGTCGTAGCTTTCCTCCACACAGTTCGCGAGCTTGAGCAAACGGTCTCGGAGCCACTGGCCGGGGCAGTCGGCCAATTGCTTCATGAGCCGTGGCTGCAAAACGCGTATTTCTGCTCCCTCAAGTCCTTCCGGCAGGAGAGAGGCCAGGGTCTCCTCTGCCAAGTAGGTGACAGCGGCAAAATGGGAGTCGGCCCGGCCCAGCACCACCACCTCCATGCCCCCTCCGCCACTTTGGAGTTTCCGAGTATTGCCCAAGCCAGGGAGCCAACCCGAAAAACCCGGGGCCCTCAAAGCGACCGCATAGTTGCCCTGTTCCAGCTCCGCCGACGAATCCAAAACCATGCGAACCGAGCAGGCACCTGCCTCTGAAGTGAGAGCAGTGGTATATCCTTGTATTTGCACGGGCCACGCTGAAACCCGACTGGCTGCCTCCAGTAAAGCCAAAGCTGGCGCAGCTGGCACGCTCAATGGAAAAACCACAGAGGCCTTGCCGTTGGCACAGACGACCGGCGGTCTGGCTCTGGCCTCAGTGGCCTTATGCTTCACATGCGTCGCATCCATCTTCGAAGTGTGCTTGGGGAGGCTCCAAGAGAAGCAGCCGCCCAGACAATCAAGCATGGCATAAACATCCAAACATGTTACCGCCACACTAAATCTAAATTTAAGCTGACCATGGAGACGTGCAGAAGTTCTAACTGCCAGCGGTGTGTCTCCTCCTAAACTGCTGCGTGCACCACTAAACATCGGAGGCATGACTCGTCTGGCAACTTGCAATGAGCTGACAATTGCTTGACCCAATGGCTCACTCTTTTCGCAGCTCCCGGACTTGCCGCTGGGAACTCCATGTAAGAAAGACTCAAGTCCGCTCAAGTCCGGGTTCGCCACTCCCGTTGCGCCGCGGCGGCTTTCGTCCACCTGAGAGCCCAAGCTACCGATTTACCGTCCCATTGCATCTCTTGGGCAGTCGGGGCCTCATTTGTGCGGCTGCTCGAATCGTGATGGTAGCCACGGCCTTGACAGTCACTGCCGAGAGCCTTCCTGGAGCTGCGTATCTTTTCGGCCCGAAACCCTGCTTTAAGGCCGGATCTCCTTTCACGTTCTGCAAGGTCAGCCTTCCAACTGCAACAGAAGAAAGCTTGAGCTTCGACCCGGAGTCTCAGGGCCCGGGCTGTCGGATGTCGAACCTTGCAAGGCTCTAACTTCCCTCGAGAGGTATAGACTCCCTTCGTTTCGGGTCAGGAAGCTGGTCGGATTTGGCCAGCTGCTTGATGTTGCCAAAGTAGGCGCCTGAGAGTGGTCTTGTTGACACCATTTTTCTCTGCTGGGGCAGACGAGGCCGGTACCAAGATGAGTGCCTGCCAAATCCGCAATCGTGAGGCCTGGTCTTGCGGAAATCCAATCGTCGAAGCTTCGGTTCTGAGCACGGCCTCAGCTGGGCTCCTGGCGGAGATCTGCCTCGGCGCCAGTGTCGATCACCAGAAACGCCTGCCGAACTCTCATGCACTGCAAGGGCAAAAAAATCTCGACAAGGAATTTCCTGAAAGCAGGCCGGGCGGACACACCAGTCCAGCTGCGCCTTCACACCCCCTGTCGCAATCAACAAACGGCCTGTGGGGGGAGATGGGGGTAGTGACGGACGGGGCCCTGACTCTTTGCTGCCAAGAAGATGTCTGACGGCAAGTGTGTAGTCTTGCCATCGGGCATGGTCACATACCAATGACAGACCATACCTGATCTGAAGCATTTTCTGGCTCCTTACAAACACAGGAGTTTAAGCGGAGGCTAGCAGTGTTTCAGGCCCAGGCCATCTTCCCCGCCGGGCGGATTTCCCTCTGGGAAAACCTCGCTTCAAACAGTCACGAGCTACAAGACATGTCTCTTGGCCGGGCAGGGCTCCCACAATTGTGTCAGCAAGCAGCACGCACAGCTGAGCTGATTTGTCGTGCCCTCAGCGGAGTGTAGGATCTTTTCACGCGTGTCATACGGGACAGCAAAGGCTCGAGCGAATTCCGGACATTCCAGCTACCTCGGCCAAGAGTCGCCAAACTCGTCGCAACTTCTCGCAACTCGGCGCCGACTCAGTAGTTAAGCTTGGTACGCGGACTCCACGACTCGCCTGTCTTCATGGGCCTAGTGCAAGCTTTGGAGGGTCATGCAACCTCAAAGGAAAATCAGCTTCGGCCTCACAGCAGCAGTTGAACTGCCATGACTGCACATCACGCAGCAAGCCCGTGTATGTGTACCCGTATGAACGAACCGCCTTAAAGCCGAGACCGTCTGGAGGCGACTTGTGTGAACCAAAGCCTTCTGCCCAGAAAACTTGCCAGGTCTTCAATCACGTCAGTACTGCAGTTTACCCTTGAGCCGCTGTTTCAGACTTGAGGACGAGATCTTTGTGTTTCTCGCAGGCGTCGTGGCAACTGCTGAGTCGCTAAGTCATGACATGGATCTCTCGAAGGAGCATATTTCTTTTCAGATGTGACGTGCTCGCAGGTCATTCGGACCTGGGCCGAGAAAGCCGAGAGCGAGCTGCACACCTGGGTGCTGACATGCTCCACGACTACATCACAAAAACCTAGCTCTAGGCAAGGGAATACAACAAGCTCGTGACGCCGTTGCAAGTCGATGTCCACTACATGCGCCTGGCACAGCACTTGAAGGCTTGCTGCGACAGCTCAGAAACGCTGACACGTCATGCAAGAGCGACGTGCAAGGCATGCCTTTGCCGCATTCTCCAATTCTGCTCGCACGTGGCCCCGACTCAGCTCCTGGATGGAATGGGGCCGGGGTATGCCTTCGACGACTGTCTTCCTGCTCCCTGCTTTGTATGTTCGCAGTTGGCGGCATCATATGGCATCAACTGACGATATCTTCACGGCCGGCGACATGTATCCGCATCCCGAATCTCGATCTGCGAGAGAGAGAGAGAGAGAACCTACTTTGCGCATGTATGTACACACACACACATAAACCCGAAAAAACACACGCGCTGATGTGCAGATGTATATGTGTATGCAAACATATGTACACATATGTAAACATGTGTATATATATATACATATGTACATATATATATATATGTACATACATATGAACATATATATGTACATATATCTGTCTGTCTGCCTGCTGTCTGTCTGTCTGCCTGTCGATCTGTCTGTATGTATGCTTGCATGTATGTACGTGTATTATATAGACAATCTACACGCCTTTTTGGTTTGTTCGTTTTTACATGCGCGTTCTGCGCGCTGTGGACATGCTTGCATGCATGGAGGCCTGCCTGCATACACACATACATACATACATACATACATACATACATACATACATACATACATACATACATACACACATGCATACATAACATAGATGCATAGATACATACATATATGTATATATATATATATATTTCTGTAGATAACTATATTCATACATATAGGTATACACATACATACATACATGCAACAAAGCTACGGATCCTTAGACCGGTGAAACGAACAGACAGAACGGATGTCGTTGTTGAACTACCATATTGGATTATGGGCTTTAGAGCTTCTTTGCTGCTTCGTGTTACTAGTAGTAAGAAAGAAGAAGCCTTAAGCCGTTTAGGGCTAAGGGCGGTGATATGTTTTTGCCCTCGCTCTCTCATTTTTTCGGCAGGGCTGGGGCGACAGCGAGTCCTGCGCGAGTGCCCCCTCACTTATCGCGAGCTCCAGTGTGAAAAAGCAAACGAGGCAAAACGGTCCCTTTCTCGTTTCTCTTTCTCGTCGTGTCTGAGATTCCCACCTCTCTGACTTTCTCTCGGCCCCCGGCAAAAAGTCCCAGTATGCCGCATGCCCAAACTGGTTTCAAGACTTTGGGCGGAGTAACAGCGCAGAACATATCTGTGGGAAAAAGGAAATGAATTACATTAGGTGCATACCCCCAATGACTTGTGATTGGAAATCTAGGGCAATCCGAAGAACACGCCAAGCAAGCGGTGTCCAACCACTTATTGGGCACACTGCGAGCGGAGAAATGCCACTTTCAGGACGTCTCCAGCGTACCCCCACGGCTCTCAGGTGTGCTTCCCCCGACCACGCTTCTTCTTCTTCTTGGAACGTCGACTCGTTGTCGCGGCAGCGAGCCTAGATCGCAGAGCTCCTCTCCCTTCTAAGTCGGTATGGGGTGATCGCATCTCGACGGAGTTGTAGTCTGAGTGGCTCAAGGAGCGGCATGGCAGGCCTCCGTATTGTCATCGTCGTCCACGTCGGCTGTGATCACAACGTCGCCAGAGTCCGTCTCGTCATCCACCATCACTGTCACATGTTCCCGATGCTCAGGAGATTCTCAACCTTTAGCTCTGCATCGTCGAGGTAGCGATCCCCCGCCATGTTCAGCTGCCACTCCAGACGACACGGTCACAGCTCCGTGTCCCCTTCCGCTGTCTGGCTGCAGGCACCGCTGTCATGTTCTTTCTTTGGCAAGGGCTGACCCTCTCACTATCCCTTTGCATTGCTCGGGGCTTGAGCCAAGGGCAGTGTTTTGGCCCTCTCTCTTCTTCCATACGGCCAAAGGGCTGTTTGGAAGACTCTCTCTCTCTCTCTCTCTCTTCCGTCCTTTGCCACACGGATTGAGTCCAGCCGTTGCTGCACCCGCGTGTTTAGCTCCCTCCTATCCCTTGGTTCATAATGAATGAACCGGGGGCTGTGGGAGCATTCCGTCCGTCCTTCTTTCATTCCTTCCTTGCGACGTGAGACTGGCGTCAACCAGGCCCGCGCTCGCGGCGCTCCCTTCCCTGCAGAGTGAGAGAGGACTCTGGGGGCAGAAGGACGATAATGGGGTTCCCTGAAAAATTCTTCCTCTCTTTTTGCTGCTCCTTCCAGAATAGTCTCTCCCATACATAGTCTATCCCATTGCCCATCTCCTCCTCCGCATGCCCTTAACGAGGAGAGATGATAGTGGGGCCGGGCTCCTCGCAAATGGAGGCATGCTGCCGGCGCATCGTTTCAGCCACCTGTCGAGTCTCACTGCCAACCCGCCAACGAAACCCATGCCAAACTGGCCAGGTGCACCACATCCGAACATGCGCCAACAACATTTGCTCGTGCACCTGGAACATTCGACTACACAGCCAATAGGTGCCAGGCCATCCGAAGAGCTGGGTGGCAGGCCCCACTGGCGCAGTGATTTCACAATTGCTGCCTCTGGACCCACAACGTACACCAAGGCCATCAGATTGTTCCTGAGTGCCTGTGGGGAGTTGAATTGTGAACGACCATCCAAAAAGCGCCAGCACTGCTCCCTCCCGCCTCCTCTGTGAATCGCTGCTCCTTGTCCTGCAACCAACCCTTTGAGAATCATCGTGGCTTGGGGATTACTGATTGTCGGGACATGTGGACTCCTTGGCAACGATCGACACTGCAATCTCCATGGTCTCGCCCAACTGTGCCTTGCGTTTAGAAGTTTCAAAACTCTGTGCGAGGGACAGGTTGTGTGGCCACCTCCATGGTCTCCGAATTTTGCCGGAGCCAACAGCCGACGTTGGGCGCAGCGCAGCAAACCTTGAACTGCCCAGACATGAGCAGAGAGCTTGGACAGTCATCTGCAGCTGCGCTGCTAGGGGCACTGAGGGAGTCTTAGGGCGCAGCTGCGGCCAGCAATTTGACGCCCTCCTCTCTCAAGTAGGAGGCCTCCAGACTCCCCATCTCGTTGATGGGCTTCACTGAAGAAACGCAACAAACTGGGCCTGCTGATTCCAACCATTCTCCTGGCTCTTGGCAAGCGTCAGGGCCTGCAATTCCCCACACCAATTCCGAACTCGAAGACATTTACGGGAGCCCTCGTGAAGTTTCGTGTCATGCCGCCCATTGCCCTCGACAGCTCCGACGCTCCGTATGTCGTAACCCCTCAGTCGAGTGTTGCAAAATGCCCTACCCTGCATGACAGCGACAAGCCAGACTCCAGGCCTTGGTTGCGGCCTGCAAGCAATTGAAGAGGTGCTCCTCGCAACTCCAAAGCGTTCTCGTCCAAGTAATCTCCGGAACCGCTCAGCAACGAAAACCTGGTTCCCTGGTGCCTATACTTCGAGCGAAGCTCGAGAGTCTCGAGACAGATCGGCCCAAGCATAGACCCGCATTTAGGGTGTATAATCGTGTGGACAGTGAAGAGACGTTCGGAGCTGCTACTATAGCATTGCTAGTACCAGACTGGACAGCGACATTGTGGATGCAAGTCGGGTGGGTCTCCTCCGTCACTGTGGTGTCAGTGCCATGCCTTACCATGACGAGAAGGCCCACACAAATTGTCAAAGAAGCTTGGCATCAGTTCCCTTCCCCACATACTCCTGAGCCGTGGACTGCGCCACGGCGCTCAAGGCACCGCATGCACTCGTCCAAACGATCTTGGCCGAGTGCAACACTCACAATGCACTGCTTGAAGGAATGCTGTAGGTGGACTTGGTCACTCTCAGGCTAGGGGTGAGAGATCTGGCAGGTCTGCAGGTGCTTCGAAAAGAGATCTTCAGAAGACTTCTTGCCAAATCACCGAAATCGATCTGCCCACAGAAGTGCACCAAGGTCAGCGCCACGTTTTCGGGAAACGCGGACATGGCGGTCAGGACCTGCGGCGAGCGCGGCCAAGACACTGAAAATCCCGGACCTGATAGTTATGCCGTTATCATTATCGTCCTTGGCACATTGTCCTTTTGTCACAGTGCAGGCTGTGCTAGCTGCTCGCAGCCTGTTTCCGACCCGTGATCTGCGGCGTAGAGGCAGGGCAAGCAGACTGCAAACCGTATCGGACCCGTATCGGGGACCGAGAGGCTAAGACGGCACTTTCGTGCCCCCAAAATTCCGTGCTCTTCGATCAGAAGAACCATCATCATGCAAATCTCTACAAGCACTACAACCACCACCAGCGACAGAATATACCGCTACCGCCACCACTACTTCTACGGCTACTATTGCCAACCACGACCGCTACTAGGATGACGACGATGATAATGCTGACGACTGTTTCTGGTCTCACAAGCATTGATTTCCTACTACCACTACTACCACTACTACTACTACTGCTGCTGCTGCTGCTGCTGCTGCTGCTGCTGCTGCTACGGTACCACGACACTCAGTGGTGAAGATGGACTCATTCCTATTCATGTGTGTTGTCGCAGCAACTAACAGAGCAAGGTTGGTGGCGAAGACCATGATGGGCACGATGGTGAGTTCACATGACGACCTTAATGGTGATGAGAGTGCTACTGAAACAGCAACAAGTAATGTGAGATGACATGGTCGATGACTGTAAAGTAGTCCTTGTGTCCTCACTAGTCACCGGTAGTAGTAGTAGTAGTAGTAGTAGTAGTAGTAGTAGAGTAGTAGAGTAGTAGTAGTAGCAGTAGTAGTAGTAAAGTCGTAACGATGATCATAGCTGTTATGGCAACATCATACTACAATTCATAGATATCGTTGATAGCTGTTACAATTCCAGATTGCATGTTCGTAGTGTTTCCCCCGAGTCTCAGCCTCCAGCCCGCAAGCCCCGGCTCCGTGGCACCCTCAGCGCAGGCCCCCGAGTCCCGGGCCACTCGGATGCAGGCCGTTCTGGCGACCATGTTGGCATCTTGGGCCTTGCGACATGCTGTTTACATCGATGATCACATACTGAATGTCATTCCGCACCTCTTGGTCGATTTGCTGGCTGTAAATAGCGGTGAGGGCTCTCAGGGCCGCAATCTGCACCTGTATCCGGATGCACACAGTGCGAAGCCATCAGTTCAACAGCTTTCCTTCTGCAATAGTTCTTGGAGTCTCCAGTACTCTCCAAGGCTGCAGCAGAGAATGACTTCTGGTTGCACTGCATCTCTGTCACCTGGGATGCAGTCCCGCTGTGTTTAGAGCGAAGACATACAGCAGTGACCGGCTGCATTGCAATGCTATCCTTATGCCTCCGCGGCATCTTGGCCCCTGGCAATGGCAGCCACACCATGGGAGAGGCCAGCCACCCACATCACCACCCCCTGCCGCTTTCCGCGTTCGCATGTCGATGTGTCCAATAGTCCAAGCATCACACTCGGCAGGTTTGACTGTGACTACGGAGTCCCTGTCACACAAGCTCGCTGGGCTCTTACGAAGCTCTGTGTTTTGACCGATAGCTACACCTCCGGATCTCAGAATCCCAGAAGCGCTTGGAGAGGGGCGAACGCGTGTGTCCATTGTCGTGCAGGCCGGCAGGTGACAAGTCGATGACATGTAGAATTTCAATAGGACAGCTTCGGGCCTTTCGAGAAGCAGGATGTGTCTGCGATCTAAAGAGATGCTGTGGAGGGTTCGGGTGCTGCTCATACTTGCGAGCTCATGGCGTCAGCAGCGGGGCGCACGTTTCGAGATCTGCCACCAGCGGCCCAGTAGATGTTGCTACTGATGGCATGCCCTACCTAAACGAGCATCAAGAGAACCCCGACAGAGAGCCACGGTGGCACGGGCTCTGGTACTGTTTGGTACCGTTCTGCTTCGATCACATAGAGGTTTCGAGGGTCTCTCAGAGCTTATGCAGCTTCATACGATCTGACATGTCCTTCGGAAGCTTTCGCAACAGAGAACAATCTGAGTGTGGCTTGGAGATTGAAAGCCTGTTTCCACAAGTATCGAATCGGAAGTAACCTGACTATGCAAGAACGGCAGGTCTTTTGGCACTACAGCCTGGATAAACTGAACTTCCGACCTACAATGGTACAATGTGTTACACTAGTGGTGGCGGTTCGTAGCGTGGCTTTTTCAATCCTCCTGCTCGGAAGTGGCGATTTAAGCGAGGCAACCCCTCTACATGTGCGCATCTGCTCATGCAGTATGCCTGTAGGCGGGAGTTGGACTCGTGCTCGGCACTGACCTCCCAGTGGACCATGCGATGCATGGCAAAGCAAGCAGCTCGTGTAGCCGGCCAGCATCCGAGCCTTTGACAACAAACTTGTTCCAGCGCCGGAACCGCTTGCTGCAGAAAGGCCCTCGCAGATCCTGGACAGACTCTGTTATCAAGGGTGGATCTTGCAAGCGAGTTCTATCATGCACCACTGCCTGGCCCGCACCACAGACTGGAGCCTCAGCGAGGCAGTTTGGATGTAAGTGTTGGCACAGCCTCAGATCGCCTGCGACCACATGTTGTGCAAGCCTTGAGATATCTCCCTCTCGGCAGGACAGTCGGAAGCCCTGAACCCGAGTCTTGGAGTTGCACCCCTGTGACATCTCCAAGAACTCCCCAATAGCCTCGTTCGAGGAAAGAGAGCAGTGACAGATCCAACAGTTTGCATTCCCAAGAGGCCTCCAGAACTGATTGTAGCAGGCCACTATCGCCACCCTGCAGAAGTCTGGTGAGGCTTCATCACTGATGGCTTGGACAAGACTGGGAGAGACGGCGTCATACTACAACTGTTGAAAGTACACATACAGTAGAGTGTCGCGAAGTATAGCGGAGTATAAAAAAAGAATAGTACACTTCATTCCAGCGCAAGACTCTACTCCATCTCCCACGACCTTGGCTTGGAGCAGCTCGATGAGCGCGGATGCAGCAACAAGGGCAGCCTGGAGGCCATGCAGAGCACAGCGATTTTGCTTTTGCACGCTTGTGAGGCTGTGTGCTAACATCGTCGCAATCCTGGAATCGACGCTTCTGTTGCGTAGAATGCTAATGAACTTGAACAAATCTCGAAAAGATCTGTGCCTACATGCATCTGCCACGTGGCACATCATTCAACCCACAGATCGGTAAAGCTTGCCGTCGTCTTGAACTAGAGGCAGACCATTGCTTACAAGCTAAGGCTGAAAGCTGAAGTTACTTGCAGGCGCCCGTGACCGCCGAACGTCTTGCCGGACAATTCGGAAAACAACTCCACCATCATGATGGCCCTTATATTGTTTGTTCGGGTCGTGCGCAGCATGTGCTGTGCAATACCTCGCTTATTGTTTTGCTTTACGTGCTGTTTTGGTGCATGATGTGTCAACCTACGGCGCATGAGGGTCGCAGACAGCAACACGTCGACTTCAAAGTGGTAGCGTGCTGCATCTGCACCATGTCTTCATCAAAGCAGGCGCCTCGCGCAGAGGTGCGATACCCTGCCAGGACCGGCACAGTTTTAGAAGCTTGTGTCTGGTCTGCGACGGACTCTTGAGCGTGGAAGCTTCCCAGACACTTGTGCATGAGCAGATCAGCAACAGCCTGCTGATTCCGAAACATGCTTTCGTTACAGGTGCTAGCTCGCGAAAGACTACTATATGCAGACCCGAGTGCTTGTTGCGAGCTTCCGGCTGCTCGGCGTCCCTGTTCTGTCACGATTCTCGTATGATTTGTGACTGCCTGGTCTTGTGCTTGTCACGTAGTATGTAGAGCATGGCATGCAAATTGGAAAACAGATCATGAAAACCCGACGCTAGCGAGACAGGTCATGAAGACAGCAATGTCCACTGTCGGCAACCAAGGACAAAGATGACAAAGCTTTACAGAAACTCCTCTCCGTGGTCTCTATGTATGCTCATCCCGGTGGTGTTGTTCTTCTGAGGTGACTTCTGAAGCACCCCCCAGGACTTCATGACAGCTTCTTACACTGAATGGATGAGTCGAACTCAAGCCCTGCCAGTCCATCTGCCTCGTGCTGAGTGGCAAAGGCAGCTGTGCGGGCAAGCACGAAGGCAGCCTCTCGGAGAACCTCCGTGTCACCAGCGAAGCTTCGCATGGCCTCGATGACGTTCTGAAGGACCTGCATGGCATGCTGCGCCTCCGCAGACTCCGCCTCGTCCCCCTGACCCCAAGCCAAATCGCTCAAAGACCTCAGAGTCTGCTTCACCACGTCGGGGTTGGAGTGGGCTCGGAGTGTTCCGAGTAAGGATCCGAAGCCATGGAGTTGCTGTACAGCCCAAAGGCCCCAGTACAGGACACGCCCGTCATTCTGGGACCTTTGCAACACTTGCTCCAAGATGGCCTCAACCCGACGGCTGTGGACTTCCCCCGACGCGCCCCCTCTGCAGAGCTGAGCAATCAAACGAACCCCCTCTTGCTGCAGCTGTAAGCCTTCCCAACTATCTTTGGAAGGTTGCGACTCGAGGACTTGCAAGAGCCAGTCCCAGCCGTTAAGCTGGAAGAAAGCCACACGCAACTCTGGAAGGGCAGCTAGGTCTCCAAGCAGCTGCATGCCCAGGATCAACAGGTCAGTTTCCGTGGGATGTGCCTGGAGTGCATCAATGATTACACGGGTGAGGGGTACCGGTGGGCATTGCTCCACCTCTTGCCAACGTTTGCTCGCCGTGATCCGTAGAGTTTGCAGAGCTGCTCTCGTGCCTGGTGCACTGGGTCTCAGGTGCTCAAGGGCTTGGAGCAGCGCTGCCATTCCATGAAGTTCATCCAGTACCGCCAACGCCTCTGTCAGCAAGTTCTCTGTGCAAGGATGTGAAGTCATGCTCCGAACCAGCACTTGCTCGACGCCAGCTCGTTGGATGATATTCTTGGTGGTTCCTTTGGAATCTGCTACAACTGCTTTCAGGAAGCTCACGCCAACCTGTTGCACTTGTGGGTCCGCAAGGCCACTTTGCATCTCATCTAAAACATGAACAATTGCAAGCCCAACAACCTGCTCCAGGGCTTGTCTTAGGCGCACAACGGCGCGATTCGCGACTGGCTCGTGAGAGCTGTAGTAATAAGCTGTATGCAGCCCATGCAGGGCACGAAATAGATCGAGAACGTCGTCGGCTGGCTCAGTCATGGGGCACACACCCGGAGCCTAAGCAAGTGACGGACTTAACACGCTAGACAAACATCAAGCCACGTTGCAGTGATGATGCTTTCGCAACTCTTTCGCAGCTATGCATCTAGGGCGACGTGGCTAGGCGCAGACCTTTGCTACGCATGTCTGAGCTGTGAATGCGGCGAGTTCAAGATGCATTTTTCACGCGTTCCGCTTTGTTGTTCCTTTGTACCTTCTGTCTTTCTTCTTTCTGTCTGTCCAGCGAGTCTTAGACAGAAGGGTCTTCGCCCGAGCCGAGGCGCACTCGCATCTCTTAGATCTTATCCGTTAGTAGCACTCCCCCCGCAAACTCCTGCATAACTGGCCTGTCCCCACCTGTGACAGCAGTCTGCAGCTGCAAAGCATGGCCACTATCAACCACCTGTCTTATTTATGTTGTCGGGTCCCCCAAGCAAAACTAAAAGTCTATCACTCCGAAATGAGCCTCCCGCGGCTGCTACATTTTCTATGATGAGATGCAACCACGCTGACCCTTTTCTCCAGCTGCAGAGGCCTTGAGCTACAAGGAAGCGCAACCAGACTGAATGGGCACGAGACGGTGTGTGTATACATATATACATATATATATATATAAGTATATAACTATGTATATATATATATATGCATTCATGGACGCGGCAAGACGTATTGATTTCGTTTGGAATGGACTTTCTGGTCAATCAGGGAAGAGGAAGGTCTGCAGTGCTCTCAAACAACTGCCAACACCTGTGTGCTTAGTCGGGGATTTGTCTGTACTGCAAGGCAGGGCCGTCACTCTCAATGAGGTCGGCTAGCTCTCATCTCGATCGTGCATAAGAAGAGGGAAGAATGAATTCTACCTCCGGTCTCACACATGAACTCATCTCCAAATGGGTAGGTACCTGGCCGCCGAAAGGACTCAGCCCGTGACGCACGCCCATGCTGTCACTTGTCATGTTCATCAGTGCACCCTGGTGAACAGCACGATCCACTGCGGCCCACATGCAGGTCCGATTTAGCCTTTCTGAAAGCTGCTGCCACCTTCATGTGCGACAGTGAGGCTGCCCTGGACTGAAACTAGAACTTAGAAGAGGTGAATACATGCTGTGCAACGGGTAGCCCTTCTTTGCTCACGCGTGGATCCGCTTAGGCGCACGGACTCGGCCCCGCAGGTTGCTCCATCGTTAAGCCAGAGAGCTTGCGGTAGGCGAACCATGCCTACAGCACAGTTTTAGCATTCGGTTCCGTACTTCGCTCCCATTTCAATTTTCTGTATGTCAGGTCAATCAAGTCTTAAGTCTCACGCTTTTGTCTGCTTGTAGCGGGCCGGGTCAAACCTTGCACGGGAATCAAGTGCAGCTTCGCCAAGTCTCAGAGTGCCCCTTTGCCGAGAGCTGGACCCTGAACAAATAGGAATTGAGTCCGCCGATCGCAGGGCCGGGGTTTCCTGCCAGAGCCATCTCGGTCCGGATGCTCCGGAAGCAAGGCCAGAGCCTCCTCTCACTGACCTCACCCACTGTGTCTGGGTGTGTCGGTGTGGAGGAATGCTAGCAAAGGCTCCAACTAACGTCATCATACCCTATCGTTCTCACACTCAGACTCTCTGCGAGACAAAGAAGCCCGATTCTTCAATGCACCGTTGCAACACAAACCGCTAACAGAACTCCTCTCCCGGTTTCGTCTCCCGTGAGCAGAAAGCGACTTGGGAGTTTCCGAAAACAAGGGGTACCTTATTCTGGGGTCCTTAAATTAGGGATCCTACTATTTAGGGTACTATATTAGGGTCCCCTATTTTTGGGAAACCCCCACTTGTAGCAAAAGACACAAAGCGCCCGCCTGGAGCCCGGAAATCTCCAGCGCCTCATCGAGGTCCAAAGACCCGCCTTCCAGCTGGCCGTTGAAGAGCCTGGCGGGTTCAGCTGGGCCCATGGAGTCGGATGTCGGATGAGGATCTTCGGATGGCTGAGTATTACGAGGGAGCTTAGTAGACTTAGGCATTTGCAGAGCCTGTTTGTTGATGTAATCGTCAGAGAGACATGGCCTCTCGCCTCCTAAAGTCAAGTGGGATCTCAAGCCGTGCTCGAATGATACGCCGGGGGCTTTGCTCATGTCATCCTCGGCCAAACAGTGTTTCGACAATCTACGAACGATTTTGAAACTAAATCGAAATTAAATCGAAGAGGACCTGCTGCTATGCGACCAGCCGCAACGGTGTCGAGATGTTCAATCGATATCTCCCGGTGGCCTGTAAGCTAAGTCTCGATCCTTCGCAAATCGAACCTTGGCCATGATATGCAATCCGTGCTGGCGCTTAGCATGGAGATACCAAGGCTCTGGCTCCCTCCCCTATCTGAACCAGGGTGGCGTCGAAGGTCGCGACGTCACATTCTCCAGACCTGCGCCGTAGTTGCAGGACATGTTCACGCCGCCTTCTGAGCCACAGCTTGGTGCTGTACCCGAAGTAGTAGAGGATTCCTGCAGTGCCCAAGCAGGAGTGAGAGACCTCATCCCGTAACGTATAGCACTGCGGTCCTCGTCCAGCGGGCCGCCCGGAGACATCAATGACACCACAGAACATGTCGCCTAGCAAGACAAACCACAGCCACAGCGTCACGGACACTGACAGGGACTCAAGTGGACGCACATCCAGCAGAACACGCATGCTCCACACCATCACCGCCTGTCTCTACTTCTCATGCTGTGCCGTCGCAGCCCAACAAGAACACCACCACCACCACCAGCAGCAGCAGCAGCACGACGATGGTGAACAGAATCAGAAGCCATAGCACGCATACGAACAACGACGAACATGCCAGCGCTTGCCACCACACCCAGCAGCATTACCTCGCCTGTTGAGTACAGATTGGTGCCCACATAGGTTCCTGAGCACCAGGCTTGGATATGAGATTTTATCAAGTTGAATCTCATTCCAGCTCTGACAAGCAACGGCCGGGGCGGCGACCTCCCTTGCTTTCGATCCCAGCTGCTTGTAGGACTTGCTTTGAAGCAAGTTGCGACTGCATCGTCCTCAATGGAATCAACACCAGCCGTAGCTTGTCTAGCGGTCTACGTGTGAGCTGCAGACTCAATCAGGACAGGCAGCCCCACCCGTAGACATATCCTTGAGCCAACATGCCCCTGCTCCATATTCAACCAGGCATGTCAGCTTACGGGGAATTCCAGGCTCCGGTGTCATGATCATGCAGGCACGTGTCTGTCTTTGGAACCTGCATGTGCGTGATTCGGTCTCATGGAGATGATGTGTTTGAGCACCTCTGGAGGAATCATCTGGACTATTCGGATTAAGCATGGTATTATAGCTTTCACAAAACGAAGTGCACAGCATCGCCTACCTACGAGAGCAAAAGCTCCTAGTAAAGCTCCCATGCAACGGCCGTGGCAAGCCCACGATGCACATCATGGAGCGGTGGGAGGCCAGCATCATAAATTGGGGGCCAGCAGACTGTCACACCGAAACTCCTTCCAGTTGCAATATGTCGCGGGCTACGTAACTTAGAACTTCACAGATGATGCCAGCTCGCCTCAAGCACGTCAGGGCTTGGACGATTCCACAGCCAAGTCTCAGATGAGTTGGACGCAAAACAACTGGCTTCTCGTTGGATGCAATAGCCTTTCGCATGAATAGCAGTATAGTCACATCTGAGAAGGCAGCAAAAAGGGAGTGACACGAAAGAGGGCAACCGAGACACAGAGTCAGGTCCCGGCCATGAACTCGCCTCGGGCGACTCGTGGCATTGTGTCATGGTCTCAGCTCGGCTCGTCTCGGCTTACGAGGCCTACAGCACCAGAACGCGAAATCTTGGCTGTTACATCCTATCCTATCCTGTCATGGTATAGTGTTAGTAAAGTATTATTGCGTTTGGGATGGTTCATGACGTTTCTGGCTAGCTACACCCAGGATCATCTGCAATCAATAGAAACCGTTAGTCCAGTGATACTTGCGGATGTCCGGCGCACTCAATAGACAGGCCAGGCGCGAAAACCAGAATCTTGAAACATCCCTTTCTGTTGGAAGGGTTCTCTGAAAATAAGTTGAGCAGATCGCTTAAAGCGCAGAACTTGCAAGCTGCTCTGTGCAAAGGGCACTTGGAGGTGCCTAAATGATATCGCAGACCCCCTGACTGGAGCCCAGCGGGGTGGAAACGGTGGCAAGGAAAATCTCCAGCGTCACTATGGATCGCTGTGAGATGTGCGAAGCAGATATCTGCAAGCATTGGCTTGGCATCATAGTGGAAAACATGCCAAAAACTAGACCACTGCACAGACGGCGCCAGCATGGGACCAGCTCTCTGATGTGGCGTACGGCCCCCATGGGCTTGGGCTACGAAATTCAGTGTGAGAATACTGAATAAGAATAATAGTAGTAATAACAGCTAATATTAGATAATAATTAACCGCTAACAGTGGATTATAATGCCCTAAACCTGGTCCACATTTTGCGCCGTGAAGTGCCTTGTGGCATGAAGCGTTCTACGTGTCTGCAGCTGCACGAGACCTCGAGACGAGAAGACAAAATTTGCGCTGGAGGGTTGAATCAGGAATCTGCCATGATGCAACATCTAGGGCACAGACAGCCAATTCCTGGAATCAGGGCACAACAACTTCGACAATTACTTTTCAGCACAGAGGCTGCCTCCAGGGTCGCTCTTCGCCCAACAGCGGCACTTTGCGCTGCCTTTGAGAAGCTCATGAAACAGCCAAGATCGCGACTCTTTCTCAAGAGACCCGGGTTTCAGATGTTTTGCAGCCAGCTCGGTTTCACGAAAGCTCGCACGAGGGTGCCCTGAAGGTCCGAAACTCCCGGAGAACTCTGCCTGTCTGGTGGTCTGCTCCACTGCGGCACGGCCTTCCCATAAAAGGCTACAGATACTGGCACGCAAACAGAGTGGTCTGCACCTCCTGCATAGATGGGGTCCAGGAGACGGCAGTCCATGCTTGCATCGCATCGGCCTGGCAAGGCACACGGAGCACGAAGCAGGGCTCCTCATTCCTCTGGACTCTACGGCACACCTGCGACGCGTGCCGCAAGTCACTCACCTCTGCAGAGTCAAAAGCCTCGCAGGCAAGCATGAATCTGGCAGCACGGCTAAGCATGGCGCATGATGGTGCTTGTACAAGCCTCTTCCGGTGCATCCTCATCCGATGGGGAGGCGATATCAACGCAAAACACGTCACCTCGCTTTCAGAGTTTCTGCTCGCTTTTTCCTCGTTTTTGGCCTCGGAAGGAGCCGAACTTGCCTCGGGAGCTGCTCTCGGCAGGCCTCTGGCGGAGAGAATCATCCTCACAGGCCCCGAGCAAACTCTTCTATACTATACTATGCCATGCTATACTGTACCATACTGTACTATGACTATGATCTAGTATAAACATAGCAATATGATGCAAAATACTGTAATATAACATACTGGACCATCCCTCCCTTGGCTCGAAGGGCCGCCCCGCCCCTCCCTTGCGGTCCTGTCGCGCGCAGGCAGAAGCCGAAAAAGGACTCTCCTCGAAGGCCGCCGAAGAAGCGGAGGACTCCGAGGAGGTCCAGGTCCCATATGGGTCAGGTACCTAAGGCTCGTGGATCTGTGACCCAGACACGGTTTAGGGTTTAGGGTTCAGGGTTTAGAGTTTAGGGGTCAGAGACTCAGAATGGAGAAGTGCAGGGCACATGGGAAGGTCTCACCCAGGCCCATGCACCACCATCGCTGTCCATGCCTGTCGTCACCCGCTTTCTTGCTTGTGGGCACAAAGGTCATCGTGCAACTGCGACGGCCTGCAACTGCCGTTCGTAGTCGTGCTGGGAATGCATCGAAAGCCACATCACTGGCTTGACCTGACCGTGTCTACGAGCCGTGCCATCGGGGCAATCTAGCACTACTTCAGGTTTATATTCTGAGTAGCGAGCTCTCTGGCGTCGCTTTGACGGGAGATGCACAGTGTAGGTCAGACATGTCCATGTCTCCTTCCTCGGAGCGCCGGAGCCAAAACACGATCTCAAGTGAAATAAAATGGTGCCAAGGCTCGTCGAAGACCTCGTCACTAAAGTGGAAAGGCTTCTGAGGCCAGTCATCCTTGACATTGCAATGACAAGCGCAAGAGGGATGTGGCGCTCGCCGCACTGCGTTCAGGCCTGGCTTTCATGGATACTGCTGAGATTGGGCTCCACTTTCCGTGACCATGTCATCGTGCGGCCTTGGGGGCAAGCACTTTCAACAAAGGCAAGCCAGATTGAAGCTAGAGCCTAGAGCTGGCTTCTTAGCCGCCAGCCAGGTCTTACCTGAGGCCACCGCCCAGAGATTCCGAGCCGAAGTGGAGTCGCAGTGTTCCAAGTCCTCGTATGCACACGTATGCACGTGTCACATGTTATGTCTCCGTACCCTCCATTCGATGGATCGCAACGACGCACCTTCTTCGTCTCGGAAGTCCGAGGACCTTTTGATGATGCAGTCATATGCAGTCGAACGCAACATGGAAGAGACCTTTCGCAAACATGGCTCCCCACTGTCTTGCAGGCGGCCGGTCGACGTCAAGCATGTCCAGCACAAGATCCGACAAGGCCTGCAGGGAGCTTATGGGAAAGTCAATCATTCAGCACTCCCACCTCCCCCTGTTGGCTGGCTGTCTACAGACGTAGACTTGCATGTCGGGGCCTCGCTGTCACTGTCCAGGCCCTTGTTGGAAGGCATTGCGCAGGTTGGTCGAAGACGATCGAAAGCCTTGCAGAATGCATCAGACCTTCAACAGGAGGATCTGTCAAGAAAACCACAAAGTGCCGCCTCGTTCAGGAGAGAACCTATCATCATCTGCACATCAAACTGTTCATGCTGAATGCTAGACTCTGCTAGGCAAGGTATTGCAGCTTGCCTGGCAGGTCTTGAGACAAGTCGAGCTCAAGCCCGTCGCCATCTTCCCGCCACTTGCAACCTGGCCGGCTTGCTGAAAGCAATCTGGCTCAACACATTGAGGGTCGGTGCTGCAAACGGCCTTCCAAGCCGGCAGCCATTGGCTGTAACGGGCTGCTGGGTCTTCCCGACAAAAGCAAGCCGCCTCCGAACACCGCCAGGTCTTATGTGATGTCTGAGAAACTCAGAGTGTTCCAATAACATCATGGAAGGCCTGTGGGCTTCTTGTCAGCATGGCCCATTTGCACCGTTGCCTTGCTCATCCAAGGATGCAACAGCTCAGCTTAAAACGCGTCCGCCATGTCTTTCGAAATAAGACGATCGATCCTTTGCAGAATGCTGCTGCGGCCCAAACCGATCTACTATTTCTATGCCAAACAGAGTGCGTTGCTGTATGTTCGTGGGCATCTTCGACAACAGTGGCACTTCAGCTGCACGCATGCTCCGCAAAACATGAGCAGGGACTCACGTCCGCATCCCCGGCGTTGCCTCAAAGCACCTAGGAGTATCTGGTCGCACCACACGTTCCTTGGCCGGGTCGGCATGATGGAGAAAGCCAGAGCGAAATCCAAACGCGACTGCTCTTGTACAAACTAAAACCCCAAACACGCTCGGGCGCACCTTCTCACAATCGACAGTCTCAGGCTTGAAACTGAAGCCGGTCCTTGGTACTTCGAGCATGATAAGCTAGAAGCTCATCCGACTAGGAATGTCACCGCACGCATCACACAGGTGCCACCGAGTCGTGCATGAAGGTGCTGTCGCGGAAGGGTCAATGTCGCCAGGTTGCATCTATGTTCGCTTGTGGCTGTGCGTGGCAAACCACGGAGCATCCGGCAAAGAGCCCCGATTGACGCTGGATACAGCAAAGCAAGAACCGATCGCTTAAACACTGCAAAAACTGCAAAATCAGGCAAGCTTCTCATTGAAAGCAATCCCATCCTTGTCGTGTCCACGAAGAGGCGACAAGTCAAGTGAACCCAGCCGGGAAGAGTCGGGGGCAGACTCTGTGACAGCGAAGTAGTCTTCCAGCACGCATCCTGAGCGGAAGCGCCGTGGGGTTCCGGGTTGAGAGCCCGACTTCTCCCAGCGAGTGAGATCGGCAGCTTTTGGCCGCACCGCCTCCAGCTGCGAGTCTGAGCCAACTGAGCCTTTGCCCTTGCCCTCTGCTTCCGCACTCTTCCGGGGCTTGCTGACACGAGCCACCATGGAGAGAAGCGCGAGGCTGAAGGCATTGAGAAATGGCACCAGCAACAGCTGGAAGACGGCATTGACGAGCGCACCGTAGAGCCAGTACGTGCCATCACCTGGAGACACGGAAGATAGAAAGGCAGCTATGCAAAGAATGCTGAGCGCGAGGTACAGCAAGCTTGCAGTCCAGTATAAGCAGACTCGTCTCCTCCACTGCTGGACCCGAAGCCACTCATCAGTCCACTCCCCTTCCTTCGACCAGTCGTAAAGCTGTAAGCGCCGAAGAAGAACTACGACACATTGCCCAAGCAAGCACGAGATCATGGCAGCACACATAGGCTTCACCAGAGCTTCTTGGACCTCGCAGGCATTCTCCGGAGAATACTTGAAAACGATGCCCAAGCTTTGCAGCGCGAAGACATTCAGCGCCATGGGGCCCATCAGCTTGCAAGAGAATAAGATGACGACGGAGCAGCGCGGATAAAAGAGGCTGCTGGCCAGGAGGCCCGTGCCAGGATGAAGGGCTGGAAAAAGAAGCAGAAATCTGGCCAAGAGGCTTTGGGCTCCTGTGAAGCTGCAGATGGCAGAAGTGGCCGAGGCAAAGAGGTCCTTTTCCTCTGCGAGGTCCAAGGCTGCACGGCGCAAAGGTGTGGGATCACGGTCAGTTGGGTCCTGGGCCAACACAAGGCTGAGGCCTAGCGTGTCCACGTCCACCCCCACATGGAAGGCTTGGAGGCACCGGAAGCAGTAGATCATCACCCGCTCTAATAGCGGGGGCTCGGAGTGGCTTTGCTTCTGGAAGCTTTCCCTCTCCCTATTGTCGCTGTCTAAGCCGCCTTCTCCAAGCGGTGGCTCTGAAAGGAGCTCCCAACTCCACTTCGACAGGTCGCTCCGGGCATCCCGGCTCAGAGCGACCAACAGAGCGATGATGCTCAGAACCAGCACAGCCCAGAGTGCCGATGCCGCTCCCTGTCGCCACCAGCTGGAGTTCTTCCCCAAAGACTCAGTGGAGAACAGAAATGTCTCACTTGCACAATCGAAGGCCTCGTTGAAGTCCAGCTCTGCGAAACGCATTGCGGCGAAAATGCTCAAGTGGGTCGTTTGGCAACTGATCGACGAAGAGCCATCCAGCACTCTGGACACTCCTTCTCGAGACCACTTAAGCTTCTCTGGATCCCAAAAGACACAGACCGCATTGCGGTCGTCGCCGTTGAGCGAGAGAACGATCGGCTCTTCGAGAGTCTTTTCGAGTGGGATGCCTGAAGAATCAAAGAGCGACAGGCTCAACGGCACAGCCGCGAGATCTGTCTCGTTTTGCGAGGTGCCAGCACCAGCGGCAGATAATAGCCTTGTCATCTCGGAACTAAGCGGCCCGGCCGTCAAGGCTACTACGCCCGACCCCAGTTGCTGCAGCACAGCTTTGGGGACAGAGACGTTTCCGGACTCTCCCGTGCGAAGCTTGAATGCGTCAGATGTCCTGGAAGGCTTTAGCACTGCCACTGTCATCTCGTTGCCATCTGAACCAGTTACGGAGGACACCACTGTGTCCTCGCCTGCGCCCACCTTTGACAAGAACTGTTTCGCCACTGTCTGTTCCTGCTGCAGAAGCGCCACGGCAGCCACCCTTGACACTTCCAGAAGCTTCGACTTGTTCACCCAATCATCTTCCAGCAGATCAAGAGGAGACAACACGGTGGAGGTGCTCGTAGAAGACGTGGTGGATGATGTCTGCGTCACTGCCGTGCGCGTGCTGGTGTAGCTTCTGCTAGATGTTTGAGACATAGTGCCTGTGGTCGTGGAGGTGACAGTAATCGTCGAAGTGCTTGTTGTGGCTGTGCGTGTCTTTGAAGTTTCTGTGGAAGTCAAGGACAACGAGGTTGAACTGGAGATGGTTGACGTCTGCGACCCGCTGCTACTTGTGCTGGTAGCTGTGCGGGTCCCTGTCCTTGAGGTGCCTGTGGTCGTGGTGGATGTTGTTGTGCTATGTGTCGTGCTCGTAGATCTGGTGACGGTCGTGACCGTTAGTGTCGCACTTGTGGTCTCGGTGGAAATTGTGCTTGTCGTAACTGTTGAAGATCTAGTGAATGTGCTGGTCGATGATGCTGTTGCTGTGGCCGAAGCTGTTGTTGTGGTTATCGTTGTTGTAGTTATCGTGGTTGAGGTGGTGGAAGCTGTTGTCGAGGTCACTGTGGTAGTTTTGGTGAAAGTCGTGTCGGTCGTCGTCGTCGTTGTTGTTGCTGTTGACGTTGTTGCTGTGTGTGAAACTGATGTCATGGAAGTCGTCGCGGTGCTGGTTGCTGTTCCAGTCAAAGTGGTCGTGACTGTAGTAGTGTCCTGCAGGTAGGACTAGCACTGTATGACGTGCAGCAGCTGGCCCAAACATGCCCAACGTCAGCGGGTCCTCTATTTTCGGTGGTCTGGTCGTGTCCTGGCCAAGATTCCCACACAGTGGAAACAGCAAAACACGGAATCCAGCAATGACTGCCCCAGGCCTATCTCAACTAACACAGGATTGCGGCTCAGACCGGGCTCAGAAGATGGGTCAAGAGGTCCTCTATCTTGAGCCTCCGCATCAGGGCCTGACGTCGACAGCACAGTTCACAACTGCTTGGGGGGCTTATTTTGCAGGACGCTCTCTCGGGTAGCGATTCATCCAGCTCATTGCAGCTTAAGTACTGAATCATGACATTGACCCACATCTGCGCTAGTGATGTCGCACAGACTCGGGGTCTGGCCGTGATGTCGTCACCTGGGTCGGATGCCGTCCTGTGACCGTGCTGCGGACATGCAAATGTGCTGACCGTGGGTGCCACAATTCAAGAGCTCATGGCCGAAAACTGTCGAATACAGCTTGAAACTCGAGACACAATTTACACCGCCTGCCACTGTTTCTTCTCTCATTGCGACAACGCTAGAATGCATCATCGCTCGAGAGCAAGAACCCGAAGGTTCTCGCGGCCATACAAGCATTTTGAAGACTTCAGACGAAAAGGAGAGCATACCAAAAGGGCACCTTTGAAGATGCTGCGTTCCACGTAGACCTTGTCAACTGCATTGCAGTACGGAATCTCAGATGTGTAAAGGGTTCAGAAACTACTGCAAAGTAATCACGCCCTCATCAAGTCGGAGGTGTCTCACTCGCTGAAGCAATTCTAAAGATGTCGTTGGCACAACTAGTGATCCAGGATGTCTCACGTCCCTTCTGAGAACATGGCTTCCAGCATCTGCGCAGACGGCAAGACCCGAAACCTTAAGGTGGCAAATTCACATCGTTTCGCTTGTAGTCGGAGCCTTCCCAGGTCTCTCGAGCCACGGAAAAAAGCGGAGGCTCAGCAAAATCGTGCCACTGGCTGGGTTGCTAAGTGTCCAGCTACTGCTATCAGGAGCCATAACCTGTCGAAACATGACCCTGCGAAATCACGCAGAAGCAAGTCTTAGCTGCGCACGAGAATCCACATAAGGCTGCAAAAACAAAGGACTCTGCTCTGTCAGCTCACTTTGCACACCTTTCATTTGCTGAAATGTGCGTGCTAAGTTCAATGCGTCGATGTTCGGATCATGTCAGCTTTCCGTTGAAAAACCCGGTTAAATACCCATCTTTGCTTCTCTAGGGCTTGGAAAACTGTCGCGAATGCTCTGTGCCGGTGAAGATCGCTGCAAAAACAAGTCCTGCTCCTTAACTACCACCGCCACCGCCACCACGATTGCACTGTGCAAAAACATGCGAAACTCATCTTAGCAGCTTCCAGAACCCTCGATCGAAAGGGCAGCTTGAAAGAAGAACCCGTCATAACGTGTCGTCGCGTCATCGGTGGTGGCCTCACGGTCACCACTGGACCGCAGTTCGTGGTAAGTCGTCATCGCGAGAACATCACGAGCATCAAAACAGCTGTTTTTCAGTAGTCCCATGTTCAAGCGACGCCCCTCTATGCACAATTTGCACTTTTTGCCCTCGTTCTATCCGAGGTAAGTGGACTTTTGGCAGCGGACCTGTCCGTCTCTGGGCCTCTTTGCAAATTTACCCTGCGTGCCTCCAGCGCATCCAACTGAGCTTGACCTGGCTTTGGCGGATTGCAAACTTGATGGGCCGCAGGCAAAATGCATATGACACAGAATCTGAACCTCTGCACAGGCAGCTACTTGTATGTGACAAAGACGTGGCTGCCAACGAGTAGAGCACGTGTCTTTAGCGAAGCAAGCCAGGATGGCTGTGACACCCGCAGCTACGCACGCATTCGGGCCTCCAGTGCAGATCACAAGCGACGGAAGTGCAAGGCGAGAGTAGACATTGGAATCGACGCAACAACCTTAAACACTGAACTCTGCGGCTTTCCAGCAGCTCCCAGCGCAAGAGATGAGATCACCTGCATGCCGTGGTCTCATCTCGCGATGCACAAGCTCCGCAAGAGCGCAGAGGAATCACAGGCAGGGCGGCCTCCTATCGGAGCCAGCGCAGTGCTGCTCGAGGTGTAACTAAGGTGCTACCTATCTCAGGCACTGAAATGCCAAGTAAGACTGTGCTGGCAGCTTCATGTGCACTTCCGCGCAAGTGGAATTGCTCCGGAACTAGAAGGTACAGTCGAGCATGTCTTGAGCTTGCTGCTATTGTCATGTTGAGGACGAACCCTTGTACAGCTGGCAGGCAGCCGGGCAGCGGCAAGCAGCTTTTGTTCTCAAGGCGGGATGGGATCGCTTTGCTCCAAAACTCGCCTCAAGCTAACGAGAGAAAGGAGAGAGCGAAAGCGAGTGAGAAGTTGGAGCGAGAGTAAGAGCGAGCTGCGAGAGCAACAGAGGGAGAGAGAGATAGAGAGACCGAGAGAGAGAAACAGAGAGAGGGAGGAGAGTGACAGGAGGAAGGAGCGGGAGACGTTGAGAGAGAGAGAGAGGAGAGAGAGACACTGGACTCTGCGAGATGCACGGCAACTGGAAGCTAACGGCAAAGACACAGAATCCCCTACAACGCTTCTGCTCTCGAGTCAGAGTCAAAGTGTGGCCAAGGGCTTCCGGCACAAGCATTGCTGTAGGCAGGCTCAGTCTGGTCGACTTCGTCTACCCACAAGCATCGGAAACGTTTTCTGGATCGCAAATGCTAACGAAGTACACCTGGTCTCTCTAGTCTAGGTGTGCGCCTGCACACCAGTAGCTATAATCAATGTTACCTCGTTCCGACGGTAAGTGTCCTGATGGGGATTTTGCGCATGCCAGCTTGCTTGGGGAAACGACAGCTACGATGCACAAGTGACACTTCTGTCGGAGCCAGGTACCACTGCCCAGTAACTATACAGACAGTAAGACATCCGCTACTTTGGCTCACTTCAAATTCGAACGCAGATGCTCCAGGTCCAGCGCCAGTTTCGGCACCGGAGTTGCAGTCGGACTGGGAGGATTGCTTGGGCATCTTGGGCCTCGGCCCGTCGGTGCAGAAAGTTCGCCGCTGAGTTTTTCGCAGGTTTTTTTGGGCAGCAATGGAACTTGGAAGCTGGAAACCGTGACATTGGCCAGACTTGACAAAGTGGCTGCACATGGGTGGTTGTCGAAATTATGGTCCCTTTTTGGGTCCTTATTATAATACGGCACCTATTATTTAGGGTACCCCAAAAAGGACCATAATTTTGACAACTACCCACATGCTGCCCGGCAGGCCTCCGGGTCGGAGACGCCGGCGCAGACGTTCCAAGCAGTGCGCCGAGGCGAGCTGGCAGAACCCGGGCTTGGGCTTTTGGATGCTTTATGAGCTTGCAAGGGCAAGCTCTCTTTCACGGATACAACAATTGGATCGCACAACACACTGCGAAACATTGCCGCATAAACTCAAACCACAATCCCACGTCTTCCCCTTGTTTGTCGACAGCCGCAAACATCGCGTGGTGAACGTGATCGTTGGTGAGTGCAAGGACCGATTCTACTGCCAGCTATCGGTAACGCTACGGCTAGGTTCGAGTGTGGCTGCATTTCTGGCGCCAAATGTATCGGATCATGCATCTGGGCTTGGCCGGAGCTCTTGAAAGTTGAAACAGCCTATGGGCGGCTTGGGCCGGGTTGAGATGATGGGGGACGGACGGTATGGACCACTAGATTTGTTCCAACCAAGGCCGACTGCATTGTGGATGCCTTGGACATTTTCCGAGTGGGTTGGGAAGTGACGGGATACCAGAACTGCCAAAACCGTTTCATCTCCGTGAAATCGGCTCAGCCGCTCCAGCAGAGTTTGCGGCACTTCTGCGGATCATGCGACTTCATCTCAGAAAACCAAATGCTCAAGCATAGTATCAGGTCAACAGCGTCTTCTGCACGATTCGCCAGAAGGCCTGCTGTGCCGACAAGGACGGGACTTGGCAAGTACGGCTGCGTCGACCATTCCTACAAGGTCTTGAAGTCCCCGTTGCAAATTCGATATGTCACTGCTAACCCAGGAGACCCTAGGTTCAAGTTACATGCCAAGTCCCAAAACCTTCTTCTGACGGAAACAAGGCCTGGATCATTTTTGATGTGGCCGTGAATCTACGGTTCAAACCCCCCCTTGAAGCACCCTCCCTTAAGGATCCTACAAAACTAGCTAACTAATCGATTGTTGAATCAAATCAGCACTGTTGATGCAGTTGACATACGTCAAGAATTACAGCAGTGCCACACTCAGCAGCCGTTCGGCGCTCTCAGAAGTAGTGAACTTCGAGCTCAGTGTTTTCTGCATGGGCTTCATGGCCCGACCATCCGACACAAAAAACTGTCACTTCAAGCTCATCGCCAGCCGTCATAACATCCAGCAAAGACAACCCTTTCTTCGTGTCAGGGTCGGTGCCACGACACTCATCCTGGTCAATCGCAAGCTCCACCTCTTCGTTGAAGGGGGTGTTATGATACGCCTTAGCTGGAAAACACCGGTCATAAGCCACACCAAAGCTTTCACAAAAAGTGCCACAAACTCTGCTTGTTGGACAAGCGGAAGCTCCCGCCTCAAGATGCCAGTCAATGGAATGGAGGTGAACATCCAGGCGTCCCGCTCGCTGAGTACTTGCTCGCAGGGCCACTTTGTTACAGCGAGTGTTTCCCCAGCCCTGATCACGCCACCTGCCGCGTGCAACCACCCGAGCGATCCTCCAGCAGTCATCCGGCAATGTAAGGTTTGCCAAAATCGCGGCACGGCCCTTGTTCCGGAAGTCCAAATCCACTCGCTCCGATTGCGACACTACGCATCGCCTAAGTGTCCTCAATGGCAACGTGTTCACCAGGTAGTCGTGCATTCGAAGGCTCAACCCGAGCGCATCTGTCAGGGCATCCAAGGACTCCAGCAGCTCCGCGGGTGGGGTGTGTGTGCCGCTTCCGATGGCCACCGTCAGTTGCTCAAAGGTATCTGCATTGAAGTCCGGCAGGCTGCCCGCTTCCTGAATTGGCCGCATGTTTATGTGCAACTCCCGGACGTCATCGCTGGGTATCAGGAACTTCCGTAAGTTTGGGTCTTCAAGATTGCCCTGATGTCCTCACAATCAATTTCATGCTGGATCTTGAGCAGTGACCCCCGCTAGTCAGATATTAATGGACCTCTCCTTGCTTCAACATGCCAAGTAAAGTTGGGATCATTGAACATGCAGGAGGCACGTTGATTAATTTCAGCTTGAAGTTGCTCTGCCTATGAGATCAGAGGGAAGAGCTTCCTTCTGTCTGTCTTCATTCTTTGCATGAAATCGGTCGCTGTTTTTGCACGATCGTCTTTCTTCAGTGAAGCTGCCGCAGTGTGCAATGAGTAGCCAATAAACCCAATAACACACCAAAGAGCTTCACACTTTCTCTACTCGGTGTTCATGTCGGCGAGAAAGTTTTGATACCTCCAAACCCACGTGTTCACCTATGGAAATCAAGTCATGCAATGCTTCTGGGGGCATGGGCAGACATAGTAGGCCGTACCGTGGAGTGGTGAAAGCTTTGTGCACCAACTTGCCGATTTTGCACACATTGAAGTTATGACGGCTCATCTATCCAGTCTTCCGACATCATTGCATGTCCGGGACCGCGCGCTTGTTGGCTTCTTGTGCAAGACTGGAATTCTGTGAGAAAAGCCGCATCGTGCTCACTTGGCATCACGTATAGCCAAAGCCCGATCTTTAAAAAAGAGCATGGAAACAACACGACTGGAAGACATAAAACTCAGTAACTAGTGTTCTTCAGGCTGGCCAAGACAATCATATGTGCTGTATAGGTTGCGGAGATGAGTCGGTTGATTTCCAATGCCCAACTTTGCTGGAGAGTCACGGCGAACAAGCATAGGTTTGCCACTACAGCATCCATCTGACTTGAAGCCAAGGTGCAAAACCTGCTTACAAACATCAAACAACCACGGGCAACACACAATCTCTAGAGTCAGATGTACATAGACATACATAAAGGAATGGAAGACTGCTGCAGGCATAAATACAAAAAATCAAATGATGTGTGGAGGTGACTGTTGAGAGATCGGACAGGATAACATATATGCTCTCCAAAACCTGGCTGTCAGCCTCATGTACTTAAAAGAAACATCGCACTGCCACAGCTACGACATTGAATTCTGAAACGGGCAGTGCTCATGCTTGGCTTGCCGGGTATAGTTCAAGTTTCCCTCCCTGAAAGTCAGTGCACAAACGTGACTGTTCGAGAAGCGGCAATATCCCAGCGACACTCGTCGAGTGGTCGCAGCACCAAAACCCTAAACCCTAAAACCCTAACCCCTAAGCCTATATTTAGTATACAAATATATTTGTATGGACAAGCCTGTTGCCTGAAAGTCAACCGGCCGGGTCCTAGAGGGAACCTCGCAGAGGAAGTAAGCTTCTCACGGAAGATCCCGAAGCACTCCAGAATGGAAACTGAAACATCGACCTTCGTGGGAAACCGGACAGAGCGAGGACGATGCTTCAAAGAGCTTAGTGTTAACATGATGATGGGAGCGGTTTCAGTGCTTCAAACCCAGCCTGTCGCTCTTTGAAGTGAACAGTGGCGATTTTCGCACTCTTCTTCAGGGCATCCTCTACCCAGAGGATAGCGTTGTTCACCTGCTGGTCTTGGGCGCTTTTCGCGAAGTCCTGCATGCAGCAAGCTGCAAATCTGGTGCACAGATTGCATGTTTGACAAGCCGGACAAACCCTCAAGGTCCTCAATGCCGCCGGCAAGGCAAACAAGGGTCTGTGCCTGCGCCACCTTCAACTCCCTGTCGTGCTGCGTGGACGCGTCCCTCTCGGCATCTCGGAAGAAATCCAATGCCAGCTGCTGCATATCTCCACGCCACTCAGACGTGACTTGAATGCGGGGATGTGTTAAAAACACAGCTAACATGTTCACGTCTTTTATGCGAAGCGCCGCCTCCAATGGCGGCTCCAAAGTGCTCCTGACTCGAAGGTTCTCTTCGTAGATCTTGTCTGCCGCTCTGTCCTCCTCAGACAGCTGGGCTGGGGTAAGCGGAGCATCGTAATCAAGGAGTAGCTCGCAGATTCTCGCGCTTTTCTCGGTGACCGCTTCTGTGAGAAGCATAGCGCCTCTGGCAGTGAGGCCCCCAGTACGTGTGCCCGCATGCAAGAGGGCACGAGCAGCTTCCACGTTCCCGACCTGTGCGAACTGCTGCAGCAACTCGTTTGCTCTTGCCTGTTGGGACTCCTGGATCTGGTTTTTTCTCCGAGCCGTGAGGCCAGAGTTATACAAAATGGACTCCCAAGGAACCTCATAGCGCTCTCCACTCATGGCAACCTTTACCTTTGAGCCGAAGCTCTGCTGAAGGTGCAAGATATCCTCCAGCTTCAAGAGGGCAATTGAAGGTCCAAACTCAATGCTGTGCATCTTGTCCTCTTGAGGAGTGAGTTGTGAAATGATCTCCAAGAGCCGCCACCAAGTGCCCTGGCTGAACTGGAAGCTCATGGTGAAGCGCCCACAAGGGGTGTCCCGACCCAAGTCTCCAAATTTGAAGAGTGTGGACTCTCTGGATGCTAGCAGCATCTCGGAAAACGGAACCCAACCCAGGCGCCCTGTCAAGCACGTGATGGAGTAGTGCATCAACGACTCTCCGCAGGATTGGGCTTCCAACCAAACAATGCAGCAGGTGACCAGCGCATGACAAACTGCGAAGCACAGCGAGACGAGAAGCTGGTTCGTCCTTAGAGGGATCGGCCTTTGTGAATTGGAAACTCACGGAAAACCAACAGGCTCCTAAAGCTGTCTTTTGTCGTCTGTGCCCGAGTTCTCAGGCTAGCTGAACAAACGCCAAGCATCGAAATGTCCAAAGCATCAGCATTTCCCTCCGCTGCCAGGATCCGTACTTGGAGAGCGATCTGCGGGAATGACTCGAAAACAAGCTGTGACATGGTCCTCAAGCGTCTGTAGCCTTCGATGTCCATTGTTGTCAGCCCCAGGCGGGTCGACAGAAACTTGTCGACGGCGCCATCTAGGAAAGAGTCGCGGGTCCCACCCCGTGACATAGCATCCCTAAGGATCAACACAACATCCAGAGTCACGGCCTTTACAGAGTAAACGATGTCAATGAGAATGAAAAGTCCAACACACAGCGGCGTCATGCAAACCAGCGCTGCCACTGTCCGTTGAGTTGCATGGGACTGAGGCTTCCCTGTGTTGTCTGTTGGCTCGAAGATGCGACTACGCATGGCAAGGCGAAGAGTGGCGGAGAAAGCCACAAGATACGGCGCCACCATCATCATAATCGACAAACTTGTCCACCAAACATTGTGGCCCAGAAATAGCCTCATCGTTGGCAATGCGGGCTGAGTGAGCAAGACCGATACTGCGTAAGACTACATGCCTCATGCACCGCCGGCTATGCCGACAACCTTTCCAATCACGTGAACTAGCAGGCAGACTCTTCTCGACCCACGCCCCGGACGAGCAGCTGGCATCAACATCACAGGGCCCCATCGACGCATGAAGGAGACAGCGTGTCGCAATGTACCGGACACTCATACACTCAAACACCCAGACACTCAACCCCGAAAGCTAAACATCCCGAGGCCCCAATGCCTTATACTAAAGTGGCTCACTGTTGGGATGTGTGAGTGTCTGCTAGGTGGGCAGTGACCCCTGCTTTTGCATTTAGGATCTGACTTCTCTACACATCATGCCGCCACATGCCGCTACGCCGAGTGTACTCGATGGAGAGCCTCGATTGCATGGAAAGGAATGCTGTAGTGGGAATGAGGAGCAACGAGCAGAAGCAAAGCCTTCGACAGGTCCCTTGAATGTCAAAACTTCGCGACAGCTTTACAGAATGACTCGACGCAAAATCAAGTTTGTCGAGCCGCTGCCTCACCAACAACACGTCAGTCACAAAATCCGCGGAGGAGACGATCTCCAAGGCGCAGGTGATGCTTTGAACCAAAAGCTTCAGCCTCTCCTCTGAAGGACGCACGGTGGCTTTGGCGAAGGCCTGTGGACGAAGTGCAAAAGACTTGCATCGATAAGATGTCGGCATCAAAACACCATCCGGCCTTGTGATATTAAGGCCCACTCCCAACAATCATGAATCGCCTTCAAGACCCGCCCAAAGGCCTGGCGTGCGAGGAGCACATGCCTCTTCGGTCGCCTCTCTGCACCTCAATCATCGGCCAGGAAAACTTGGCATCTTCCCAAGGGTCAAAAGCTTCCAAAATGTTCGAACCCTGGCCCTCGCACTGTCACTTCTGAATCACCGATCCGAAGCGAGTTGAAGCCCTTTCTTTGAGACACGCCCACCTGGCTGCACCGGCTGCAACGAAGTGTCTGAAGAGGGCCTCATCTCGTACCTTCCTTGCCAGTGCAAGTTCCCGCGCTCTCGGAGCAACCTCCACCTATCATCGTCGGGAGCCCAGCCGCTGTCCACGCTGACGGCGCTTGACAGGACGTCTTGACCTAAGAGGCACACTCCCATCGCTGTGTCGATGTGGATGTCAAAGTCAGAACCTGCATCGTTGTGGTAAGTAAAGGCAGCTTGCTCTACGTCAAAGCAGTAAGTAGTCCACTCCGTCGGCAAGGAGATCTGATCCAAGAGTATGAGGCTGCAGACTTCCCAGCCCTTGTCGTCCTGGAACAAGAGGCTGGCAGAGAAACGACGCCCAGGTGTCGAACCCCTGACACCGAATTCCAGGAGCCGCTTACAGGCGGCTTCTTCGCGTCGATGCGCCAGAGCCATCACGTACTTCGCTGTCCAGTGCAAGTTACCGTTCTCTTGGAGCCACCTCCATCTGGGGTTGTTCCGATCCCAACCGACTCCAGGAATTTCAGCATTTGGCAGGACGTTCTGACCAAGGAGGCGGACCCCCACTGCCGCATTGAGGTAGATGTTGTGCTCGGGACCCTCGTCGTTGTGATATTCGAGAATAACCTGCGCGGCGTAGACGCAATATTTTCTCCATTCCACGGGCAACTGATCTCGTTTCGCAACCTGTGCTCTGACGGATACACCGTTACCCAGCACGCCGATCTCGGCGGAAAACTCTCTGCCCGGCTTGCTGCCTCTGACGCGGAACTCCAGCAGCTTGGTGCCACCTGCGAATCACAAGAAGGCGTCGGATTTGTAGCTATAGCAACTCATTGCAGGTGGGTGCATAGCCTTTATGACTTTGTGACATGGCAATTAGTCATGAATACACTGGTCCGGAGGCGTCCTGCACCCACGCCAAGGCACGACAACCCTGCTGAGGAGTTGTGCCAAGTCCTGTTCCTTGATATGCGTGCATGCACTGTGGATTATACGCAAGAATAACTATGCATGCCTATCAATTTTGCGTCAAGACTTTCGAGTTTGATGCTCTACCGGGGCTTGGCCCCAAGCCCACCCCAAATGCCCAAGCAACATCTCGGCCTCTCAGCTGCTTAGAGGCTGCTGGAGTCTGGTTGTGCTTCGGCTTCTTCGCCTGTCAAAGAATTCCCGGGGTTCAAAGCTAAACCCTCCACTCTTCTCTCCCGCCAGGCACCTCTTCCAGCTGATTCGCATGGGAGCGGTGCTCGGGGGAGAGTAGCTCCTTGGTTCTGGCCGCAAGGCTGAGGCAGCTTCCCGTCTTCTTCTGCGCTGCCATGCAGGCGAAGGCCTTGTTGAGCGATGCTACACAAATACTCTGTGCCAGCTGGCTCTTGAACTGCCGGACGAAAACCTCGACGTCGGAGGCAGCCTTCCCGCCGTTGGGGTGGAGAGATAAGCTGATCAAGGTCTGCTTGAAGGCTTCTTCCAGGTTTTGCAGCCGACCAGCATCGGTCTGCTCCAACTGGACGAGCAGCCAAGCTACGAGCGTCTCCTCTCGATTGCCACAATCATCGCATCGATTGCAAGCTCGGAGGGCCTCTTCCAAAGCTGTGCTTCCAGCTCTGTTTAGGGTCTGCGTGTATTCACTCAGCTGCTCATCCGGAAACGGTTTAAGCCATGCCTTCAGCCATGACACAGTGTGTCGTTGACATGGCGCAGCCCTGGACACCAAGTGCAGCACTGTGTCACCATCCTCCCGTTGCCACTGCAACAAGTCAAGCGGGCGGATCTTGACGAGGGCCTCCAAAGCATGTTGGAGCTCTGCCTTCAAGTTGTTGGCATACGCGTGCTCGTCGCGCTGTTGACTGAGGTGAGCAGATAAAGTGGCCGAGACACAGGAGATGGCTTCTGCTGTCTCTGCTTCTGGCAACTCCGCATGAGACTGTATCACTTCGATCAGACTGCCACAGGCGGCAGAAACCATACCGAAACAGAACCCTGGCCGTTCCAAGGCCATGGCTGCACATGCCTGAGCCATACTCCGACACGCATGTCCCAGGGGAGACAACAGCTCGTCCGGAGGATCATGTCTAGAGTGGGCTTTGAGGTTTGTGTCTGCGTTGAGGTGAATTAGCTCACTCACCAGCTCGAGCTGCCGCTTGCGGATGGCATCGCACAGAGCTGTTCGACCGTCCGGAATGGGTGAGTTCACATCTGCATGATAGCTCAGCAGCAGTTTCGCAGCATAGACCTGGCCTCGCATGGCACACGCCAACAAGAGCGGCTGGTAGTCGGCATCAATCGCATTGGGGTCAGCCCGACGCTTCAAGAGCTCCTCTCCAAGGTACATCAGGTCAAACCGCGACCTCTTCTCCTCTGAGCATCCGGAGCCTTGCAGCAGGCAGCGCTTCAAGACTGGCTCGCCGTCGGCCAGACAGGCACGCCAAACCTTCTCTTTCCATTCAAGTCGGCCAGCCTCCTCAGATGCAACAAGGGCGCGGTCCCAGTCCACGTGCTGAAAATCCATGGATATGCGGCTGCGGGATAGCAGCAGCAGCTGCACGATATCTTGCAAGCAGAGGCGATCACAAGAACTTCCCAGACGTATTTTGAAGGGCATGGTACTTGAGCCACCATCACCAAACATGCCCAGCTGGCTCCAGTCCTTGGCAACCCAGTAGTCGTAGACCCCGGTGTGGCCTGGGCAAAATCCCTCTCGATCTTTGTGAAGGCTCCAGTCTGCTTTGTCCTGGTTGAACGCGATTATGTTGCAGGCAGCAATTCTTGCAGCTTCCTGGACCTGAGCCAAGGTCTGCTCTTCAGCTGTTGGAATCGCCTGGAACAGCTCGAGAGTGGGTTGACCGCGCTGCGTCAGCTTTTCCCAGTTCATGTGATGGCCGTCTCCTTCTGGCATCAGCCCCAATTCTTGGATCATCTGCTGCGCAGAACGAGTGGAGAAGCGAAAAGGAATGGCTAGCCGGAGGCCGGTCCACTTGTGCCCTGGCAAAGCACCCGAGAGCTCGGCGAAGGGAATCAGCCGACGATTGGAGACTGTGGCCGTCTTGAAAGCTGCACCCTTGATTTGCTCCAGGAAGGGCACCCAGCCCGGGCAGCCCAGCATGCTCAGCATGGTGTAGCGAGTGAAGGACTCCTCCACCACCGCGGACTCAATCCACATTCGTAACAGCTGGCTGATCAAGTTCAGGCAGGACATGGTGATGGACCGAATCACGGTGACCCGATTGGCGGATACCTCAACACAGCAGTTTCAAACACCGCCAAACCCCTCACCGGAATTGCGCACCTTTTACAGGATCCCAAAGCTCAACACATCTCAAACTGTTCCTTGTCAGGTGGCCAGCAAGGCGCCAGTTGGAATAAAGCCCTCCACCACCATGGCTTGGACGAATAGCTGGGGGATGGTTTCGAAAACCAGCTGTGCAACGGAGCGTTGCCTTGCACAGCCCTGGGCATCCCCGAGACCGAGATTCTCGAAGAGCTGATGCCAGAAGAGCTCTGCCCTGCAGGCCATGGCATCGGACAGCAAACAGGACACTGGGTCCCAGCAAATGCTCTTCACCATGAGTAGAAGCTCCGAGAAGAGCATGTAAAAGGGCCCCAAGCAGCTCACCAAGACTATGCCGAGCAGGGGATGGCGGTTCTGAGCGAAGAAACCCGAATCATGAAGGGTCACCACCACATGACTGTACGCAATGAGGTAAGGGGCCCAGATGCAAAGCGTCAGAGTTACAGCCAGTGTCATGTAGCCATAGCCTTGGCAGTCAGCGAGCGAAGAGCCCTGGCAAGCTGAGGCATTCTGGAGCACGGTCACCAACAGAGCCACGTCTGTCAACAAGTCGATGAAGCCTGCCACGGCTCCGAATGTGTTCAATGCCACGGAGACAGGGTCCACCTGCGTCTTCCTCAAGCCTAGGGATCGCTCCATGCCTTGCCTAAGGTTCTTCCTCCTCAGGCCGTCCAGCAGCCAAGCATGGCGCCGGAGGCAGCCCCAGCGCAGACGTTGGCTCTCCGTGCAGAAGTCTTCGACGACATCAATGCCTTGCGAGTGCCAGGCCTCTTCCTTCCGCAAAAACTGCCAAAAGTCCTGTGCCTCAAGCCGCTTTGTTTCGGGAGCAGGCTTCCCTGCCTGACTCTTTCTGAGCTGCCCAGCGATGCTGGACGAGACAGGGTGATGCCCAAAACATCGAACCCAACCTGATGTAACAACGGCCACCGGATCCTCGCGTTTCAGGATTGCCGCACAGTCTGACTCCCCGGCTGTGTCCGGCAAGCCAATCTCTGCCAGTAGCTTTACCAGGCTGGCGCATCGCTCAGGCTCCAGATGAAGCGCGAGGAAGCACAGGAAGATCCGGATCTCTGCGTTGTCTACTTCCATGTCACCATCCGAGTCGATGGTACTGAACATTTCCCAGGCCTGGGTCGCAGTGCTTCTGCGGCTGAACAGAGTGTAAGCGGCTTGCGCAAGGCTTCTGCTCAAAGCAACAAGCAGCACAAAGCAAGCAAGACACGTCCGCCAATCGCTTCTTGGGCAAATGACGGAGGTCCTGAGCTCGATACATCGACAGAAATGAAACCGAGCATACAAGCCATCACCTGTCGTTAGCTGGCTAACTCGCGTGAGTTAGACCCCTGATTGCAGTTTGGGGCTTTCTCGAATCTCTGTCTCTGTCCCCAAAGAATGGTCGTAAGAAAAGTCGTGTCCTCCGGGACAGATTTGGAGTCGTAAGTTTGTCCCGCTCCACCGCAGCAAAGCGAGCTCCAGCACGACGATGCCTCTTAGAGTTTCGGGAGGATCACTCTTTAGCTCTCAGCATCTGTAGTAAGCTCAACCTGGATTTGGAGCCTTAGCAGAATTTCGATACGTGAGTCCTGACACTTGACTCAAATACATTCTCCAGCCGCACATCTCGCGAATCTACACATGTAACACTCCTTCGGTTCGCTCCGACCACCAGATCGGCCCAACCCACTGGCGATGCATCTCATCTCGCTGGGGGTGGCACCGTCTGGCTGGCGCCCTTGCAATCTGCAAGCCTCAGAGAATGCAGCGTGACAACGGATTTGGCAAATTATTCGACTTACCGGTTGGTGGTGCTTGTTATATTTGTTATGCTCGTCACCACAAGCATGGTTCTACGATGCTGCCATGTCCCCACGCATTTCACTAGGGCTTGTCAGTTTCCGAGCGATGTATTCGGAATTTTGACCATTGCTTGCCATCGCAAACCATAGCGCCGACGATCCGACAAACCGCCAGAACGGGGGGTCACAGTCACGGCACATATGCAGTCTGAAGACACGCCAACAAAACCCACGACATCCCTCATTGAAACTGAGAAGCTCAGCGCTGGACTGAAGAGGTGCATCCAGCAACTGTTGCTGATCGTCTTGGAGGATTGCCTTCAAGGCCACGGCTACTACAGTAACACATGAAACTCAACTTCAACCAACTTCATGATCGAACAGGAGTCTTCTTCCTTGCTCAATTCCAGGGACCGACTGTGTTGGCTATCGTGCCTAAGCTGAAACAGTCGGATTGCTTGGGCGCATTCCACCCATGGATGGATGCGATAAGCTGAAATCGGACTCAAGGTTTGCTCTCTCACGTGAACACTCTTTAGACCAACTTTCTGCATGCGACTTAGCAAATCCTGACGTAGTGACTACACAGTGCGACCTCCTCAACGACAATGGTGCGAAGGCCACGGGCGCCGGGAGGAACCGGATCGTCCTTGAAAGGGGCGACAGACGCATGGGCTTACGATGTGCAGGGAGCGTGCAAACAGTGACCAGAGCCAGGTTCAAGCCCAGAGTCAACGCAGGTTCCGCTGATGCTGCCGAGGTCAGCAGTTCCCGCTGCGGGAAAAGTTTCCAAGAGTTTTGCAGCATCCGATCGCGCTGACTTGTCGGCTAACGTCCTTCGCTTGGCCTTGGCCACTTTGCGAGTGGCCGTCGCTTCACCAGAGGAGCCAGCAGGCACTTCGGTGCCGTAGACCGTTGGCACTGTGGCTGGCTTTCCTGCGCCTGTAGACTTCTTGCCGGATTTCCCCATGGCTCCAGGAGCTAAGCTTCAATCCAGGCACGATGTTTTGCTGCGCATGCAGGGCTGCATCTGTTATGTGCCAAGCTCTCGTCCGGGCCACCCCAAGGTTGCCCTTTAAGGCTTTAAGGACTGTCTGCTTCGATTAATCGCTGACAACCACTATCCAAGAGCGCTGACGAGCAAAGAGGGAGGCTGTTGCCAACATCACAGTTTTACATCTTCTGCAGCTGGTCAGTTCAAATCAACGTCTGGTAGTCACGACCTTACATGAATCACCAATCTTTACAGTACAGCTCACGATCCGCCGATGCACAGTCGCCTTGTCCATCTCCGCTGCACGCCGCCGCCGCATCTGGCAGAAAGCTGCAGATGCCCGAAACCTGAGCGCCGAGAGGAAGGGCTCCATCGTGCGACCCAGACGCTCGCAAACCGCAGGGTGTGATTGAAGCTCATCGCAACGGTTTCGGTTTTAATGGCTTGTTCTCAGGATTGCAAGAAGCTGGTGCAGCAGGTCGGAGAACAGTGGTGATGGTCTGTGATGACGTTGCAGTTGCATGAGACCCCGCCCGGCGACTCACGGCCTTGCAAGGTGCTTTCGACCCACACCAGGAGTGCGGAAGGCTGGTTGGCGACATGCTCAGCAACTTATTGCGGAGTTCACACAGACTCCTGCAGCACTTTGGGCACTGTGGGAATGGCCCGCATGCTTTCATGCGTGCAAGGCCGTGGAGAGTGCATTTTTCGTTGCGCATCTGTACGATGCTGCCGATGCTGGCGTTCATCACGGTCGGTGTGAAGATCTTGTCCGAGATCTCCTGGACTCTCACGTCCCATATTTGTGCTAGGCATGCCGACAGCTCCGTACAAATGGCCGACATATTCCGACTCGGGCTGGGCGTGTGCTGCTTGATGGTGCACAGCTACGTGAAGCATCTTCCGAACAAGTGAGGGCGGGGTTTGTGTGATGCTTTGTGCAGGCGAGCGAATAATTCCTATCTCCACCCATCGCCCGGCCGACCGGTGATCGACAGAGGGAGGCTCGGAAGCTCACAGCTTCGGGGCCGATGTATTGACGGGAACCAGACACCCGGCTCCTTTCAGCTGCAGCTAGATGCGAACGGTGCTTCGCTGAATCTAGTCTTGAAGTCTCCAGAGGGCCTCTAACCCCAATTGCGGCAAACTTGACGAACATGAGTATAGTAGTTTAGCTTTGCAGTTGCGCTCATCCCAGCTACAGAGTCGGGTGATGAGCAGAGCGCCACCCGCGACTGAGGAGCCTCTAAGAGGCTGTCTGACTAAGTGGCCAACCATGCGAAAGCAACCGCGGCGGGTCCTGCATGCGACAAACACGGCCAAGAGAGCTTGAAGCTTGAGCGGGCTTGAGAGGACCTGCTCTGCTTCGGAGCAGTTGGCCGAGGGAGGCCCTGCACCAGGCAGCAAAACGCTCCACCCAAAATCACTTGTGGATCGGCTGGAGCCTGTTGAGACTTGAACCCGGCTCGCCCGACCTACATCAGGCAGTTCGTACGAGAAGGATCACGGAACACGCTCTCCGTCCGGGGCACTGGCAGAGATGCGGCTTGAGCCTTTGCCTGCGCGAGGATGGTGGCCTGCTTGCGTCGCAGTGCCTGCAGCGCGAAAACACCGATGCCCAAACTGAAGCGCACAGGTCACGCACGATGCTTATGTCGTGGACCTCAAGGTCTGAAAAGGTCGCTGTCCATTTGGCATGCCAGCCTTGACTTTCTGCCTGTCGGGAGGAGTGAAGGGTTGAAGGATAGAAGACATCAACGATCACGCCTCAGCTCGGCTAAGTTCCGCTAGCAAGTTCTTGGAATAGTCCCAACCTCACAGTCTGCGAGCGACTCCATGCCCATGTCTACTCAGGGCACTTGCTGCGTCTGCCAACTGCGGGGAGGTGTCAGACACACGCCAAACAGCATCAGCGACTTTTGAAACAGGCCCGAGCCACTTCACCAGCGAGCTGGTAAACGGAAACGGCATTGCGTGCATGTCCAAACTACTACTGCCCCGGCACTGAACTGCCTGGTACATTAACGTTTGACGGTCGTGCAATTCGTGCACCAACGTCACGAAACCAAAATCTGAGTCGACCGGCTAGCGCACAGATCAAGCATCTCACGCCGGCAGGGTCCACTCATCACAGTTTCGACTTGCCTGTGGTCATCTTGATGGCAGGCTTTGAACAACCCTAGAGTAAGAAGCCCGCCTTACGGAACCTCTGGAAACCCAGCAATTCGATGTAGGGGCTCCCAACCATGTTCCACAGTAGATGATGACATTCTGGGATAGTGCCGTGTGCTACTCTCGACGAACTCGACAGCAAACACGTGAGAAGCTTCACAAGTCAGAAGCTCAATCGTCTGCAAAATAGACATCGTTTAGAACCGCCTGGTATTGTCGGCCGAGTATGAACAAAGCAAGAGGCCAGCAAACCCTTGCTGATTCTTGGTATCACAGCGGAGTCGTACCACCCGTGTGCTAAGCTATGGTATTGGAGCATAACCGATGTGTCCATTAGGGGCTCTACAGAAACGAAATTCCACGAGGGAGCCGCGCCCCGATGAGCCCCGCATGGGTGTCACGGCGTGAGCACCCGGCACCGATTTTTCGAGCCGTTTCTGAAGACGGCATCGAACAAACAGTCGGAGAACCGAACGAAAATAGGACGACACGCATGAATGGCACTGAATGTTCAATGGACGGAACCCCCGTAGCCGAAACAGGAATATGTTGACGGCAGCAAAGGAAACTGCAACGAGCACGAAGCACACCCCTCGTGCACTTCTACCAAGCAGCTCTGTGCTTACAACTTTTATGAGTTTTAGCTTCGCTTCGCGCTGAAGGGTCATACAGCAGCCAGGCGAGACATTCGTGACATTATGCTCATGTAGCTGCTGCGGGACTACACAGAGGACTAGATTCAGGACCCTTGGGAGCAGGAGACCATGAAACCAAGGTTGATATCCTTGGGGGCCGTGTTGGGGGGTGGGAGCCTGCAATTGCATGGGTTCCCACCCCCTATTAACCTGCCAGGCCATGGTCGGTGAGAGCTTTGCCGAATCTGAACTGGCCAAACTCACAAGGGCAGGCTTCGGCTTAGGGTTTAGGAGCAGGATGTGCTAGAAAAGTCTGCACATAGACATAGACATGTACAATCTGTATGTATATATATATATA